CTATAGTACAGCTTGGGATCAGGGATGGAGATACCTCCTGAAGATATTTTACTGTAGAGAATTGTTTTTAGCAATTCTGGGTTTCTTGTTGTTCCATATGAAGGTGAGAATTTTTCTTTCAAGGTCTGTAAAGAATTGTGTTGGTAGTTTGATGGGAATTGCATTGAATCTGTAGATTGCTTTTGTTAAGATGGCCATTTTTACTATATTGCCAAGCCATGAGCATGGGAGACCTTTCCATCTTCTGATATCTTCTAATTCTTTCTTCAGAGACTAGAAATTTTTTTCATACAAGTCGTTGACTTGCATGGTTAGGTTCACAACAAGGTACTTTATGTCCTTTGTGGATATTGTGAAGGGTGTTGTTTCCCTAATTTCTTTCCTGCCCTTTTGTCTTTTGTATACAGGAGGGCTACTGATTTTTTTGAGTTAATTTTGTATCCAGCCACTTTGCTGAAGGTGTTAATCAGCTGTAGGAGTGATACTTTGACTTCTTCCTTTCCAATTTGTATCCCCTTGATCTCCTTCAATTGTCTTATTGCTCTAGCTATGACTTCAAGAACAATGTTGAAGAGATATGGAGAGAGTGGACAGCCTTGCCTTGCCCTGATTTCAGTGGGAATGATTTAAGTTTCTCTCCATTGATTTTGATGTTGGCTATAGGCTTGCTGTATATTGCCTTTACTATGTTCAGGTATGTGCCTTGTATACCTGATCTCTCCAATACTTTAAACATGAATGGATGTTGAATTTTGTCAAATGCCTTTTCAGTATCTAAGGAGATGATCATGTGGTTTTTCTCCTTCAGTTTGTTTATGTGGTGGATCACATTGATTGATTTCCATATATTGAACCACCCCTGTATGCCTGTGAGGAAGCCTACTTGGTCATAGTGTATAATATCTTTGACGTGTTCTTGGATTTGGTTTGCAAGTTTTTGTTGAGTATTTTTGCAACAATGTTCATGAGGGAGATTGGCCTGAAATTCTCTTTCTTTCTTGGGCCTTTGTGAGGTTTAGGTACCAAGGTGACTGTGGCTTCATAGAATGAGTTTGGTAGTGTTCCTTCTGTTTCTATTTTGTGGAATAGTTTGAAGAATATTGTTGTTAGCTTTTCTTTGAAGGTCTGGTGGAATTTGGAGCTGAAACCATCTAGCCCTGCAGCCAGTGTTCTTAACTTCTGAGCCATCTTTCTAGCCCCATAAGGACGTTCTTTAAACTGTTTTAATTCAACAGAATCCTGGTAATATCTGCCAATGACATAGCAGTAAGAGGAATTTACATGTATGTCAATAAAGAATGCAGGAAAAAAATCTATTCATGGAGAAAACAAGATTGTCTATGAAGCAAACCCAAAGAATTAGTAACATAGCTCCTATAACTAATATTAGATCACATTAAGTTCATTTCATAAAAGGTGAATGCCAAACCCCTCAATTTCCTTCATAATTGCATCTTAGAATTGAACTTGAAAGTTCAATTTAAATAGAGCAGTCATTGTCATAGGCTCTGGAAGAGACAGTATCATGTGACGCACATGGGATGTCTTTCTTCCTTCTTTTTAAGGAGTAATGAGATTTGCATTAAAATAATGGTATATACCGGATAATGAGCATCTGTGAAAATCTATGGAATTCTTTAACACAGTCTAAGTTTTATTATGTGTGAACTTAGAAGCAATTCAATTATTAGCTGTGCCAACTGTATCTGTGTCAACGTGACACAAACTTCAGTCACCTGAGAGGAGGAAAACTTGATTCAAAAAATTCCTGCATAGGGCCGGAATGAGGGCAAGCCAGTAGAGCATTTTCTTAATTATCAATTGAATGGAGAAGGGCCTGGCTCAGTATGGGTAGTGACAGCCCTGGGCTGGTTGTCTAGGGTTCTATAAAAAGCAGCTGAGCAAGCCATGGTAAATAAGCCAGTAAGCAGCTCACCTCCATGACTTCTGCGTCAGCTCCTGCCTCCAGGTGCCTGCCCTGTTTCAGTTCCTATGGAAGTGTAAGCCAAATAAACCATTTCCTCCCCACCTTGCCTTGTGATCATGTTGTTTCCTCTCAGCAGCAGAAACCCTGAGTCACTGGGGACTGTGCAGAGTGTGACAAACAGCTCTAAGCATACTATAACTGCATGAAACGAAGCCACTGAGAGGGATGGAGAAATAGATAACGACCTTAGCGCATCTTGAAGTCCATGGAGTCTGTAAGAATGAAGGCAAAGTATATACATACAACTGTACTCCAGCTTATAAAAGTTGTTTTTCGTGGACATTCAAATTGTTTGTTATGAAATTATTACACCTAGATTGAGTTGAATTTATTTTCCTAAAAGATTTGCAAAAGCTAGTATCCAAAGTAGCTTAGAAGGTCATACAGCTCACCACAATAACAACAGATTTATACCTGTGTCTCACTCACAGACAGAGGTGCTGCATCACTGAGCCATTCAATTGGAAAATTATTATCATCCTGGGAATGATCTTGCGTCTCAACAAAGTGACCATCGCTGGTATGCTAACTCTGCCAGTGGTTGAACCTATCCCAACCTAGCTTTTTCAGAAAAGCCTGTTCATGTTACCAAATATAACTCTAAGGTAATTAAAAGATGCTTTGAATTCACAAAGCTTGTCAATTTAACACAAACCCATTCTTATATTCGTTTGTGTTTATTACTTACTTATATACTTATCTGTTTATCTCATCTTAAGGACATGTATGTGCAAAAGTGCATGTGTGGAGGTCAGGGGACAGCCTGTGGGGGTCAGTTCTCCTCTTCCACCATGTGGATTTCAGGGATCCAACTCAGGTCACCTGTTTTGTCAGCAAGTAACTTTACCTGCTGCACCATCTAGTTGTCCCCACAAAACCAGTGTTAATCATAATGTGCTTTAAAATTTCCAAGTTTTTTTTCAATGTATTTCCTGAGCAGTCATTTTATAATCACACACCCTCCTTAAAATACACAGATGGTAACTCTGCTCTCTCTCTCAATTTTTTGTTGGTATTTTTTTTTAAAATTTATTTCTTTCTTTATTTACTTACTTACTTACTACAATTTATTATACTTTGTATCCCCTCTATACCCCCTTCTTTGTCTCCTCCCAGTTCTATCCTCCCTCCTTCTCTCCTATTTTTAAGAAAAATTATATATCTGAACCTATAGATCTACATATATCATTTTTTAAAATTTTTTGTTATTATCATTTATAACAATTCATTCAATTTGTATCCCAGCTGTTGTCCCCTTCCTCATCTCCTCTCAATCCCAGTCTCCTCCACCTATACCCCTCCCCTAGTCCACTGAAAAGGGAGGTCCTCTTCCTCTTCTATGAGACCTATCAGGTCTCATCAGGAATGTCTTCCTCTCTGGTCTGGCAAGACTGCAACCCCTATGGGGAGGTGATCACAGAGCCTGCCACTCTATCACAGTTCATGATAGATAAAGTCTATGCTCTCCTTACTAGGAACCCCACTTGGAGACTGGGTCTATGGGCTACATCTGAGCCAGGGTTTTAGGTCTCCTCTCCATGCATTGTCCTTGGTTGAGGTATAATTCTCTTCAGGGCCCCCAGGGCTCAGCTTATGGCTCTGTTGGTCTCCTTTTGGAGCTCCTGTCCCCTCTTTCTGTCTCCCCCTTCTTTCTTAAGATAGCCTGCACTCTGCCCAAAGTTTGGCTGTGCATCCAGCCTCGGTTTCAATACCTCAATCAGTAGAGTCTTTCAGAGGCCCTCCGTGGTACGCTCATGTCCTGTTCACTGTCTTCTTCTTCTTCTGATATCTATCGTGTTTGTTCTTCTGAATGAGGATTGAACATCTTCCCTAGGGTCTTCTTTGTTATTTAGCTTCTTTAGGACTATAGATTTTAGAATGTTTATCCTATATTATATGTATAGTACCCACTTAAAAGTGAGTATATACCATGTGTGTCTTTCTGCTCCTGGGATACCTCACTCAGGATGATCTTTTCTAGATCTCACCATTTGCCTGCAAATTTCATGATTTCCTTGTTTTTAATAGCTGAGTAGTATTTCATTGTGTAAATGTACCACAGTTTCTGTATCCATTCCTCCATTGAGGGGTATCTGGGTTGTTTCCAGGTTCTGGCTTTTATGAATAAAGTTGCTATGAATATGGTTGAGCAAATGTCCCTGTTTTATACTTGAGCATCTTTTGGATATATTCCCAGGGGTGGTATAGCTGGATCTTGAGGTAGCACTATTCCTAATTTCCTGAGAAAGCACCAGATAAATTTCCTGGTGGTGGTACAAATTGACACTCCCACCAGCAATGTCTCCTCCATCTCTCTTAAAGGAGACTTTTTGTGTGTACAAACATAATCACATACTTAACAATAAGCTATGTTGGCAACAAGTCAAATACCCAGACTTTTCAGCATTGTAAGTTACTGCCCAACCCCAATATGAATTCCTTTCCCTTGTTTAGTGCTACAGTTGGCTCTTTGAATTTTTGTCAATTATATGTGAACAACAGTGATCATGGCAACTTTTTTTTTTTGATGATGGAAACCTCTAGCAATAAATCTAAACTCAGACTCTAGACTTTCCTTCTTTACTCTCAATACTCATAAATCATTGAAAAGTCAAGGAAGAAAGTTCTTGTGGATATGAAAACAAAGTAATAAAATAAATTAACAAAAACTCAGATCTTGATAGAGCAATATAATAGGCCCCTGAAACTGCTATAGGAGTCAGTAAACACTCCAGGCAGCTTTGGAAAGAGAAAAGAAAAAGTGTACTTCCTGTATGTTTCAGCCAGCATCATCTGGTTCCAGACAAAGTGGTTGCAACTCTGCTCTCATCAGTACAGTCATACACACACCTGCATGGAACTCGGGACGCTGAAATATAGATAACCTCCACGTGTTGTTGCCAGAATCCAAACAGAAGCTCATATCTCAAACTAAAAAACACGCGGCATATCTGGAAGCCTCATGAGACCTTTCAGAGACGTGCGATTTATCTTGTGCTGTATGTTCACTAACCTCCAAAGTAAGAGCCGTCGGTCAACTTCATTTCCTTGCTGGACTTGGTGATGACCCCAGCAACACCGTGCTGGATGAAGTACATTTTCTTCCCCACAGCTCCTTCTCGAATGATGTAGTCTCCAGGCTGGAACACCTCAAACCTCAGCTTGCTCAGCATGGCCGTCACAAAATTAGGGTCCGCATTAGCAAAAAGAGGCATCGTAGCCACCAGTTTCCGGCAGTTGAAGTTGACTATTTCCTAAGGGAGGCAGGAATGAGCACACCAGAAGGGAAATATAAGTCATATTTGGGAGAAAAGTACTCGCTGGCATTTAAAAACTTGTGTTTACAGAATAATGGCCTGTTTACATTTGTAAAAAGATAAATAAATTGTATCCCACAGATGTCACCAATGTAATAGGTTTCATTTTAATTTGTATTAAAAGTTTTATTCCAGCACCTGGTGTGGCAGAGAAATACAATAAATAATAATATGTTAATTAAATAATAAAAATATCAATTTATTACCCTTATTTATACATTATTCTTTATTTCAAATTAGAGCCAAAATGTGTGATTTTAACACAAAGTCCCGTAAGTACTAGATATCATGTTGCTTATCCTGTGCTTCTTGATGCTATACAACCTGCCTGGTACCCCACAAGCAGGGATTAGGAAAGAAGAACAGATGCAGTCAGTTTGCACTTTATTTTTTAAATATCATTCACATTAGAGTAAAGGAAATAGACAGCACATATTACCAAAGGCAATCGGTAAAAGACTGTAAATGAAATTGGATTTCTGCTTTGTGAGAACAAACCCCATTTCCAAATCACCCACTGGGGCTGGGTCTGAACTGGAAAGAGGGTATCTTTTTTTTTTTTTTTTTTTCCTGTCTCATTATTTGTTGTCTAGCAGTCAGAAGATCTACATATCTGTCTTCCTTTTGCAGATTCCAGCTCAGATCAGAAATATTTGTTTCTGGGCTAAAACAGGGATATAGGAAATGCGTTACTACAGGTGTTGGGATAAGCAATGCTAATGTAAGTGTTACCATTATGATGTTTCTTGGCAACTCCTTCGTAAAAGAACCTAGCATCAAGCTACCTCTCATTAAAAATTATCAAAAACGTAAGGTTGTGCTGAATTTACAATGGTGGTTATGAAGCATAGAAATTAAAGTCACTTCTCCCAAGAGGTAGAAAGGAAGCAAAAAATGAAACAGGGACATTAACAAAATTAGAGCAAAAAAGCTTTGCCTGGGAAAATATGTTAGTGCCAAAGCCAAAACAAAATTTCTTGATTTTATTTAGTAAAATTACCTAATATTGTCTTGGCATAGGTAAAAAAAATCTAGGTTTTGAATAAATAAAATTAGATAGATATATTCAACAGAACATGTAAATTACTCAGTAAAAAATAAAAAAAGAATGAATTCCTGTCGTTGTGAGAATGAATGTTATTGGAAATCATTATTTTAAAAATAAACTAAGCACAGAAAGTAACATGCTGCAGGAAGTTTCTTCAAGTGTGAAATATGAAACAGCTGGATCTACAGAAACTAAAAGAGAAGCTGTAGAGAAATTTTAGTGGATGCTCTGACAAGAGATCATACACAAAGACCTTGCAGATCTATGTGATCCAGATGGATGGAATGCACAAATGCTCTGGATGACAGAATACAGATACACCCTTAGTACATACTTCTAATCATGAACAGTGAAGGTACAGTTTGCTTATAGAAGGATGCAGTCATTTTTGAAAGTGACATCTAATTGAGGGGCACACAAAGTGACAAATAAGAGAAAGATTTGACAGAATGAGTCAGAGATAAGAAATGTCCAATTCTCACGAGAAAAGCCCAGGAAAGAGAGGCTACTTAAGAGCAGTGCAGGGAGAGAGGTTGTTACTGAGAATTAATTACCAGGCAAGTTTTACAGAGACAGGTTAAAAAGAGAACAAGTTAGACACAGGTGAAGATAGAACAAGCCAGAGAAGGAGAACGAGTGAGAAAATTAAAACCTAGTCTCAAAATTAGTTTGAGGCTAGGTAGAACAACTCAGTCAGAAGCTAAAAAAAAAAAGCCAAATTGAATCAGTCAGCTTTGGAGAAGAGTTTGGGACAAAACAGGTAAGTTTAACCATCCAGCAAGAATTCAGAAGGAGTTATAAAGGCTTGGGAAAGGCTCTCATCTTATTCCCTAAATTGAGGAAATAAAAACAATATTTACAGAAAAGAAGAGAAACAACACAAATTTGAGCTCAGGGCTACTGAGTTTTGTATCACAAAGAAATTCTTTGTGTGCTATTGCACCAGATGACAATAATGATGACAACAGCAACAACAATATTCTCACATTTCTAGAAACTGGGGTAATTAATTTTGAATGTGACATAAAAGACAAGTGTTTGAAGAGACTAGGTACATTTATATTGAGTTGAAGAGTCCACAGTATATACATGTATTAAACATTCCATGAACATTTATAATTTTTTTTGTGCACTAGTTAAAGGCTCAATTCAACTTAAAAATGATCCCAACTGATGACCGAAAGCACAGTATTTTGAACCCTTACTTCTTCTGAAATTTAATTTATTTTAAGTTTCCATAAAGTATTATTCTGTCTTTTTACACATTAAACCTTTAATTCTTCAAAGCTCATCTTCTTATTTTAATAGCACGATCCTGTTGTCTTTTAACTCCATTTTTTTTCAGTTATTTTACAATATTATATCTAGAGGAGTATTTACTACACTGTATCAGAACATCTTTTATATGAACAGGATATTTGTTTCCCACACTATTTGTATGACAAATATATTCTCAGTGTAGCTATCCCTTAAAAAGAATAAAATCAATCGTTTTGAATACTTTTTTTCTTACCATAACTAAAGCCTCTATTCTTCTTTCCTCTCCTGTCTTTTTAGTCCTCTCTTCTTTCCATCTTTCCTTCCATCCTTCCTTCTATTTTCCCATTCCTCATTAATATAGATGTATGTTTAAGTAGTGTTCCCTAGGAGCTAAAGCCTGTTACAGAAGCATACCTAGACTCCAGCACTCTTTCAGCATTAGCTGAAATGATCAACATTGCCCTATAGTTCATTATAGAGTTCACTATGCACTATTTAGGTTTGGCTAATGTAGACCAAATGTCACATTTAATACAATTCTCTTATTACTGTTATTTTGTTTAGCTTCTAATTTTTTTATTTTTCTTTTTTTTTCCAGTAATTTTAATTCAGAGGAAGTACTAAAACAGAAATTATTTCATTGATGTTCTTTGAATTAAACTGACTGAAATATCCCTACTTTTGACCGAATGATCTTTTATGCAGTGTTATAGAAGGGTGTTTGGTTCCTGCCATTTTTCCCTAACATCTTTAATCATGGTTTAATAATAATAATAATAATAATAATAATAATAATAATAATAATAAATGTCAAATCCAAACTTAAAGCCATTCTACACAGTATTTGACAGTTCTCATATCCAAGACAGTCAGAAGACGCTCTGAGCTTAGAAGACGTCCATGAGAAAGGGTAACTAAGTGAGGTGTGGTGTTCTGGATGAGACCATGGAGCAAGAGTTTGATTAAAAAACTACTGAAATATGAATGATATTTAGACTGTATCAAAAGAATGTGGCACAAACTCCACAGTAATTAATAATACTGAAAGTAAGAAGATGGACAAGGTGTAGAGGGACTACCTCTACAGTCTTTGGGCATTTCTACAACTGGAATACTATCCTGGAAAGAATAACTAATAGATGAAATAACTACTCACTATATTGAGTATAAATGAGATGTTTTGTCATAGTACTTAAATGTTTTTCTTTAAATAATTAATTCGCTTAAAAAGGAGAAAATACTTTTTAGTCAACATTTAAATACATCACATTGTTCTGTGGTTAATGATCTTGTCAATATGAGCATAAATTGTATAGATATCTTAAGAGACTTAACCGTACTGTTTTATGTTTCTATGGTTTATATTAATCAAAAACAAAATTTGCTTAAAGTTTGAAACATGTTTCACTCTATTCACATCAGCAAAAAGAGGGAAAACCAAAATATTTCTTTATGAAAATTTCCTTCAAATGAATATTATTAAAATTATTTATGTAATAGTAATGTTTTTAATTTAAGTGCTTTTTAAAATTTTTTTTCACAATTTATGCATTACATATCCTGATTGAAGTTTCTTCCCTAGCTTCTCCCAGTCCCACCCTGCCTTCCTCTTCTCTCCCTTGTTCCCTTTCCCTAGTCCACTGAAAGGGGGAGGTTTCCTTCCCTGCCATCTAATCCTAGTTTATCAAGTTTTATCAGGACTGCCTGGATCCTCTTCCTCTGTGGCCTGGTAACGTTGCATCAACAGGGGCACGTGATCAAAGAGCAGGCAAATAAGTTCATGACAGAGGCAGCCCCTGCTCCCCTTAATCAGGAACCCACATGGAGACTAAACTGCCAATAGGCTACATCTGAGCAGGGGGTCTAGGTCCTCTCCATGCACCGTCCTTGGTTGGCGTATTTGTCTCTGCAGCAGCACCGGGCTCAGATTTTTTTAGCTTTGTTTATTTCCTTGTGGGGCTCCTGTCCTCTCCATGTCCTTCTATCTCTCTCACCCCTATAAGACCCCCTGCACTCTGCCCAAAGTTTGGCTGTGATTCTCAGCATCCGCTTTGATCCCCTGTTGGGTGGAGCCTTTCAGAGGACCATCTATAATAGGTTCACATCCTGTTTCCTCTTTTCCATGTCTTTTGGTGTCTATCTTGTTTGCATTCTGAATGAGATTTAAGCATCTTCCCTAAGGTCCTCCTTAATGTTTAGCTTCTTTAGGTCTGTAGATTTTAGTATGGCTATCCTATACTATATGGCTAATATCTGCTTATAAGTGAGTATATACCATGCCTCTCTTTCTGTTTCACCTCACTCAGGGTGATCTTTTCTAGTTCCATCCATTTGCCTGCAAATTAAGTTTCCAAGAAAAATATACTGTTCTACTTTCTACTTTCATTATGTAATATAACATTATTTTAAACATGAGTTCTGTTTCTTTGCCTGACCGAATGATAATTAAGTACTATGCTATGACAAATCAGCCCTATAGCCCTAAGAACTTTTCTACGCCTCATTCCTAAAAAACTAAAATGAGCTGCCTTTCTGCAGCTGGTCTCCGTAGTCTTGTCCTTTGTGTTCATGGCTTTCCGAACCCCATTCACTGCTTCTGCTCCTTTTGTCCCTGTGGACAGATAGCCAA